CAGCTGCTGCCCTCTGCCGAGCTGACGTGGCGAGAGTCGAAAATGCTTGTGTGTAAACATTCCTTGAGATAAAAGTCGTATTTGAGGTCCATTTTCACGTCAAAATGATATCCTTGAGGACATTACTGGTCGTATTTAACCTGTTCTTCGTTGCTGTGGGTGATGAACACACACATACGGTAAGGAATTGGGTTAAAATTGGTTAAAATATAACTGTTAAGGTCAGGTCACTACCGGCCCGAGAGAAGCACTATTTTTTGTAATAATTTTCATTAAATTGTCCCCAATTTTGTTTATGATGTAATTCTTATAATTACATATAATCTGGTATATCATATTCACGCTTATAAGGTACAAGTCACATGAAATTAATTGGGTAGTTGTGTTTTCTCTCTTTAAAAGGTCTACCTGTAATACAGAACTGTCAAAATGTATCGTCGTTATCCAGCTTTTTCATATACCTTTCTTTATCATTGTTCCCCTTATTCCCATATTGTGTCCAGCTATTCTATGATTTATATGATTTACTTATTGTTACTATAAGATATCCAATGCCAGTTGTTCGTGTTCCTTACCTCTTGGTGATGGTGTGTTGTTATTTTCAGTATTTTGTTCTGTTTTGTATATGCTAACTTTTGGGGGTAAATGTTTAGAATACTCCTGTAATGGCTTTTTAAGTGGAACTTGTTTCTTGTTATTTTATATATTGGTTGCACACATAACCTTGCTATGATCTGTGATGGAAGGCCTTCAACTGGAGTCACCTGGTGTTGGGGCAGTGTCATGTGATTGCCATGGCCTCCACTTTTCAGCATAGGTCAAGAAAGTGCCAGTATATATGTTTTTGTAAAATAGAGCTTGGACAGGTTTATTATTTCATACTATGATAAATTGGTTTGGTAGCTTATAAGCTCGCATCTTGCCAGGGTATAAAGTTCATTGCCCTTTGGGACAGTATGCAGAACGAGGTAGTGCCTGAGTTGGGAGATTAAACCTATATAATTTGATGACTGATACAAACCAAAACACTTTTCTTCTATGTTAATATTTGTGCAAATGCTTCCTAAAGGTGCTATACAGAAATGAACAGAGGTGAGAGACCAATTTTGGTTAAGTCGATCATCTTGTTTTCATATCGAGAGTAAGCATTGGATTGACCGCAGAACTCATTACTGCTATGTGTGAAGTAGTTCATGTGTTACTGTGCAATTGTCAAAATGATAGTTTGCTAATTTTCAGTGTCTGTTGTTCTACATTTATGCTTTATTAATGTTGTTATACCTCATTTATGTGTTTTGAGATTTATCATAGTTTTTTACGGGAATCGGTTTGAAGAACCATCTATGACTGTGCATTTGTGTGTTTCCGGCCCTGAGTTTTGACAGGAGGGTTTTCAGCCATTCGGTGACAGAAGGCCGGTGAGAAATGTCTTGTTTTCTGTGTTACATCGATTTTGAGTTATTATTAAGACTATACAGTGGCAATGATGAAGAAATAGACATTGATAACTATTGCAGTTTGTTATCTGAGCCCATCAAGTCCCCCAAATGCCAAAAAAAGTGATTAGAAACAATGCGGTCCACACGATATACCAACCGACAAAAGAAGCGAAGGAAAGTTTGACAGTTTGGTGTTTTGATATATAAAATTATTTGTTTTATTATTTACACTATGGATGTTACTTATTTTCCCTTACATACTGAGGTTAAGTGAATGTGTCCAGGGGGATGTTGGGGGCAGAGCCCCCATGAACCCTCCCCTCGACGAGCATGTCTAGTCACGGCACCATAGATTGCTAGAATAGGTTGAGTTATGCGTCACGACATTCTTTTTAGGTTGGAATGTGTGAAATCCCATAGATTTTGCTGAAAGATGGTTTGAATTTTAGGGCATCGGTGTTTAGACTTCCAAAGATAACAATCCCAAGAATTATTGAACTCAGTGGATTTCTTGCAGATGAATATCAAAATTGTATTGAAAGTAAGCCACTACCCTGTTCTGCATATTGACCTGATAACGGCATCCCTTCCCAGAGACTAAGATGAAAAAAAATTCATGATTTTCTGCAGGAAATCCAATGATTTCATTGGTTCTTGGTGATTCTCCTCATTGAAGCCATTGAGTACCATTTCTCTATCAACGATCTTGATATGATAGTCCCCATAGCAGGGGATTTAAATAAGAAGAATAGCTAATAGGAATATGTAAAACTAGCACAAGAAATGCCTAAAACTGGCCAGTGAAACTCCACGGACATAATCTCCATCTTTGAAATTCTATAGACTGATATGCCAAAATTAAAAACTTCGGGAACCCAACCTACCTTTTGGCAAAATCTATGGGAATTCACACATTCCAATCCCCCCAAAAAATGTACTAACCAATAAACCAGCCTAATCTAACAATTTAAGTTGCTGTGACTAGGCATGCCCTTTGGGCACTGCTTAGGGGAGGGTTCATTCTCTTCACCGTGGTATGTACGGCAAGGTAGAGCTGGTTTCACACCGTAAAATGATAAACCAAATACCTTTATGTCTGGAAAGTCAAACTTACTTTCGCTGTTTTCTACCATCTGGATTGCTTCTGGAGTGCTTCGATTTTGATAACTTTTTTCGGCATTTGGGGTGAGATATTAAACTGGGATGGTTACTAAAGTCTATTTATTATTCTTTGCCACCGTATAGTCTTCAGAATAACCCAGAATTAACACAGCACTGAAAATGCAACATTTCTCACTGGCTTTCTGCCACGAAATGACCAGCTCAGAACTGTCAAACCTGGCGGCTGGCGAATGAAATGTGAAACACATGATGTGCAGATAATTCTAAATAAGTCTATAGATAAATCTTAAAAAGACTTTAAAAGGATAAATGTGTAACCGCTGATACTGATAATTAGCCAAATATCGTTTTTACAAGCGCATAGTAATACATGAAGTACTCTGGATATCACAGTATTGAGTTAAGCAGTCAGTGGTGTGTTATTCCTGGCAATGTAGATAACAAGATCGATTTAGAATCTGAACGGTGATATGCAAGGAATATTTTTGTCATTTAGCGGCGACTGTGAAGCCACTGCAGCTTAAACTATGTTATATCCTATTCTATGTTTTCTGCTCTATAAGACGGCTGTGTCCATTTCCCTCTATCTGTAAGTAACTTGTACTGGAGATATCTTGGCCTTTGTAATAGAATGTAGCGGGGAGACCATTGATTGCTTTCTTTAGTTGTGTGTTGAACATATCGATAGATCGGGCAGTTTTAGAAATCATGTAAAGCATAGCTCTAACTTGTTTCAATGATTTTTTTGTAAGGAAACTGTGTTGGATAATGGCAGTCAGGTTGGAATTAAAGCATATTGTACCTTAGAGCTCTTGATTAGTTAACCCAGTGGTGCTAGGGATGGCATGTACTAATATTGTAGCAGCATGACCCCGCAACCTGAAGCTCTGCATATTTCCAGGTTCGGGCACATCATGTCCATAGTCTTGTCCTCACTCGCTCACCAGCAGTTTGTTTCTTTAACTGGCTCACAGGGGCACCTCACAGGTCTCTTGTTAGACTGCAGGCTTTCAAACTTCCCTGTTGATCTTCACTTCTTCTCCAACGCCCAGCCATACAGTGGATGCACACCCTCACACACACTTCCCTAAGAGATAAGAAACCAGACAAGTGGTATATGCAACCCATCTAATACACAGTGAACCTGGAGTGACACGACTTGGCTTTTCACTCGCTCGCTTAGCTGACTCACTGGAGGGGAGTACCTGTTGCAGCACATCCCCACACCTAAAGCTCGGCATACTTCCTTGGTTGGATCACTTCAGGTCCACAGCCATGTCCTCTCTGTCTCAAAAGCAGGTGCTTCTCTGACTGGCTCATACGGACACCTCATGGTTCTCTCATTGGACAGGAGGCTCTCCTCATTACCACATATACTCTCCAAAGAGCAGTCGTGGTGTATCTCTCGTAGGGCACTAGGACGTGTTTACAGTACTGTCCATAGACGTGAGGTCCCCGAATCCTGTGTTTACCCGCCCCTATCTGACCTCGGACAGGGAGCGGGTCACCTCCTACCAAGGTATCAGCATGGCTAGTGTTGCTAGTGGAAGTGGAACCCATAAGAGGGTAAGAAGTGATGGAAGCGTAGACATGAGTGACGAGAATGGATGCGAGCGGGAGAAGAGGAAGAAGAACGACGGAAACGAAACAGCAGCCCAGAATGTTGCCGGTGTGAACGGCAGGAAAAGACTGCTATTTCCACAGGACTGTGCCTTGAGTTTCTTAGAAAAATTAAGGTGGGCCATGCAACTGGGCCGGGACCACGCTGATTTCGAGCCAGTGATGAAGGAAGGAAAGGAAGGCCGTATCTCACGGTGCGGGCAGGCCAGGCGGTGCAGACGCTGACGACTCAGGGATACAAGGGGACAGTGATGACTGTCCCAAAGGCTGGGGAAAAGTTCACCAAGGTGATAATTTTCCGATATCCCACGATATTAGACCCGGACTTCCTGCTGGCGACGATAGATTTGTGTGGGTAAGGCGGCACACGTCCAGGGGCGAGGAGCGGAGTCAGCTCGTTGCCCTTGTGAAGGGGGAAGTGCCAGAGAAGGTATTCATCTCTGGAGCGGGGTACAGGAGGGTGGCACCGTATGTGGAGCCGCCAGTCATGTGCCTCAAGTGCTGCAGGTGGGGACACAAGTCGTGGGCCTGTCAACAGGAACTCGATGCAGGTTCTGTGGCAGGACACATGACTCAAGGTCTGCCGGGCCAAGATTGAAAAGGGAGAAAGGGTTAACGCCTTGCTGCTGCAACTGCGGAGGGCGCCACAATGCCGGTCTCCTGCATGCAGGGTGAGACCACAAATCAAGATTGCTTCGCGGTCCCCAAGGAAGAGAAAATGGAAAAAGGTCACCACGCGGCCAGAGGTGCCGAGGAGAAGACAGCTGCAGTCCCTAATGCCTGGGTGCAGGGCCCACCGCGGGTGGTGCTGCCAATAATGGCTTGTGATGAGGGCAGGACAGACAGGGCAGGAAGTGAAGGAAGTGCCGCGAGTAGTGGTGTGGATTTTTCTAAGGAAATATCCGTAATTACCAGGATGTTCCAGACGCTGATGCAGAGAATGGACGCTATCGAAAGGAAACTGGCCCAGGTTCCCAGCGAAGAAACGAAAAAACAGA